TCATATCAAGTATCGTTAAAATACATAAAACACTTTGCATCCTTTTCATCACCAAGGATTTTATCTACCTGTACAAACACTGTTATGGACTAACAAACTATCAGCACTGACCTTCGGTGCTGTGCTACTAGCTAAAGGCGTCTCACCACATCATCCTCCGACCAGCATTTCTCTATGAGCTTCGGCAGAGGCTTCTTGACCAAGCGCTGGAGAGCTTTTGCTGCATCATAATGACTTGCATGTAGCTGGAATTGACAAAAACATAGATGTTTGTGAATCAGCAAGGCAACAGTTTTGCTTTTTGAATTTACTGGATACTGATGAATATGATTCAAGTTGTTCTTCTCACCATGTTGAGTGCGTTGAGCGTGGTATCATCACGGGAGGCTGCTAAACATCCATCCTCTGTGGATCCACCATCACACATCCCTGCAAACGCTGCCATGCTCCTTGAGAAATAAACAAAACATGTTTATGTTATTAGGTGAAATCAATATTAAGGGTACATTTTAGTGCTTACCTAGTTCAACTTTAAGTCTGATTCAAAGGAAAGATTCTGAAATCCCTGATAATACAGAAAATTAGCAGTCTTGACCGTGTTTCTCTTGATCTTGCATTTAATTGTGTTTTTATTTTAATTGTATACGAAGGGGAAGTCTAAATTGATATGATACAAGATAATAATTTATATAAAAAATAATAGTCTTGCAGGCCTGATTATACTATATTTTTGACATCATGTCGCAGGCCGGAGGGAGGGAGATGGAGGGCTGGAAATGGCCCCAGGGCCGGCAGTTTAAGATCCCTGAGGTAAATAAAGAAAGCAGACAATAACCAGGCTGCTTAAGAGCACGTAAACATGACTCTGAAGCAACTTATTCTTTGTTTTCTAAAAAAAAACACAAACAGTGACAATGGAACAATGTCTTTGAAGCCCTGAATGAATACATCAAACCACCACTCACCCACTTGGGCTAAGCAACCTGAGCTACATTATAGTAGACTGAAGACTGGAGTAAATCCAATGTGGATGGAAATTCTCCTTGACTTTTAATGTAGTGTGTTAAAAAAGCACACACCTGAGACACACACTATCTTTAAACTGATTTAAATATATTGCAAGCAGCTAAAAAAGGAGCTTAACTACACTGGCATTCACATTACCAGATGAAGACTTGTATTCCCCCCATTTGTGACACTGACTTACTGACAATACTGGTTATTTGTATGTTTTAATATTGTTATTACAATAAAGCCCCACTTGATCCAAGTACTGGTTTGGGATATAATGAAGTAGTATTTGTTATAGTTACTGCACTGCAATGAACAAACACAGTTGGGTTACTGCCAAACTTTCAGTGACTTTCGGACTATACAGTGCAGACACAGACCTGGCAGCTCTGAGGTACATGAGAAGGTCACAGTCATTGACCCCAGGCGTCCACATCAGCTCCTCGCTCTCTGTCTGAGTCTGTAAACCAGGAGAAGGTCGCGGCTGCAACTCTGGAAGTTTCGCCTGCAGTGAAATCAAAGAAAACACCTGTGAGGCCGGCTCGCACATCAGCGACGGAACGTTTACTGTAACAGCTTTTGTATCACAATATTCACTAAATTCAACTTTAACAGGAATTGGAAATTTGGATTTAGATTTGATTTAAAAATATGTATTATTACAGTGTGTAATTAAAGTAATTAATGGATAAAAGATTTACTTGTAATCAAATATATTTTGCTGGTGTTTGGTAATAGTACCTGCTAATATCTTTTTTTACAAAATAAGATATTCTAACAGATCTTCAACTCGAATACATTTTGTTTATGAGTTCTTCAGTATTTTTATTGCATGACAAATAACAAAGATCACTGAACAGACAGGTAGGATCAGTTTCGTAATGAGCTTAATAAAACACTCTACAAGCACACAAGTCAAAAGCACACAAACTTATTTATCAAAGTTTTCCTAACTAAAAAAAAAAATAAATGAATGAATTCAACTTTTGGATATAGAAACATGTTTATTTCGACATTTAACTGTATTCAAATGTGACATAAACAATGTAGTTATAGCAGGATGTACCTGGTGACTTGGTCCCACTCTTATCTCGCCCTGGGTGCTGTTCAGGCTCCTGCAAAAGGAAAATAAAACGTTTATCATGTGCATTACATTTGTGTGGCTCCTAATAATTTGCTTTCCTACAGTCTCTGACACTGGCAAGGTGTTGAGAATCCAGTAAACCCAACTGTGTCCACATAGTGAAGACAGTCTGCTACATATGAGCTGTTAACTAGCAGGTAATTGACGCTGTACAGTAAACACAGACGAGTGATCAGTCAGTGTATAACTTGGCTGCCTCCCTCCCACTGCACAGTGATTTCAGCAGCACAATAACATCCCGCCCCTCCATCAACCGAGAGCCAATCTCAGCTGTGACCTGCGACGTTTCCTTATATTACATGAATGAAATCCGACGCTAGCCACCGCAAAAGACTGTCAATCAATCATAACATGAGCTGCTAATTTTTCCACCATTACGAGAACAGTGTGTGCTACTTTTCGAGATCCTAACAGGTTGACAGTAGCTGGCGGACTCCGTCTCTCGGCTAACTGGTAGCTAAAGTATGCAATCAATCATAAACATCATCGATAGCATGCACAACATGTCGCTGACATACACACATTACACACATACAGCGACCCGTGTCACCCCCCCACCACCACCACCACCCGTCCAAAGGGATTAGCAATATATTTAATAAACGTGTTCGCAAGCGATGCATGAGGTGAATCCGCTTTACTGACATTATTTAACACAACGTGTGCAGGAATATCTGTTAGCTACAATAAAAAATAAAAAAAAACGAGCCTTTTTTCCGTCCTCCTCCGCGAACAGGAGCCGCTAGCTGCTAACGACACAGTCACATTAACGCCGTTATCTGGCTAGCTCGTTAGCCAGACACGAACTTCGTGACCACTGACACTCCGACTATTTCACACAGACGGCTCTCAAAGTAACGCAGCGAAACACTACACGACACATTTAATGCCCAGCAAGTACAACACAACAAAAGGCAGCACGGTGAGTTAATGAAGTTACCTCCGCGGACTGAACAGGTCGTCCATGTCGAAGGATGTTTGGATGTGGCTTGTTGACACTACGCAGCGCAGTGGGCGATACACACACATACACACACACACATACACACACACACACAAACTATGCGAATCCCCTATTACATGGCTATTCAAAATGGAGGCGGTGTTAGTGGAGGGAGTCGGTGTGTGTTTTTTTTTTTCTTTTTTTTTTTTCTTCTTTCCCAGTGCAATGACCTCAGCAGCCACAAGCTAAAGCCTTCAAAGTTGTCTGGGGTACATAAACTGAGCATGTGCCGCGATCAGCAGCCCGTGGGCCCCTCATCAGCTGCACGACATACACACACACACACAGACAGACAGACAGACAGACAGACACACACACACACACACACACACACACACACACAAGGCGTCCATGAATCAAACAACATCTCACACTGTGTCTGCTGCTGCTGCTGCGGTTATTAAACAGTATTATGTAAGCATTTACCTACCGCCGACACAAACAGCACTGTAATGTAGGACAGCGGTGTGTAGGAAAACCACCGAGGGGTAATATGTTTACACTTTTGTTCTATTTACAGCCAAGACTGGGTTTGAGGTTTTTATTTAATGGCAGTGATAGTAAATATTAATGATTGTGAGGTTGTTGGTTTTTTTGCATTTGGGCCCTGGGTGATTGTGACAGTTGTGGGTTTTTATTGACAAAAACAAAATCGATTAATTTGAGAAATGAATAAGCGAATTGATTAAATAATCATTAGTTTAATACAAAAAAAAAAAGTTAACATTGAGCTCCACTTCAATTAAACAATAATGATTTAAAATGAATACATTTGTAATAATCTAATTATATAGTATAAGTCACAGGGGCCCGTTTTCTACACTGACTACTATCATTTTTAATACTTTAAGTACATTTACCTGATTATACTTACATACTTTGCCTAAATTAAAAAACACTTTTACTTGTAATGGACTATATTTATGGTGTGGTATTAATACATTTACTTACAGAATGTGAATACTCAGCCACTAATTATTATTATATTTACAATGAATAAAAATAACTCACATGGTGTATAATGCAAAATATTTTCTTGCTCTTGAACATCAAAAAGTTTAATTTATGAATATACATTTAATTAATATACATTTAATTAATTATACAATTAAAGGTCATCAAATCATAATGAAGGAATTAAAACTTTTTCATAAGAACGTGATAAACAAACTAAACTTATTTTCTGTGAGAAGTTAATGAGACTGATAATCTGTTATTATGTTTGGTTGTCAAATGCCAGTAAAAATGAGACTCTCACTGGAAACAGGATGTACTGCGATACACACATTTTCCACCTGAAAGCAGGACATTGTGGTGTTTCACTCACACTGTGGCTGTGAGTTTAAACACAAGTAAACATGTCTCACAGCTCATGAAGACACACACTGATTAAGGTCAAGACCTTTTTTAAATATGCTATAATATATATTTAAAAAAATCTGATTTATGAATCTCCCTGCAAAGGTGTAGGAGCCTTTAATTGATGCAGGTGTAAATGAGACAGGTAAGAGAAAAGAGTTATGCTTGAATGTTTTTAAAACCTAAGAATTATGAACATATTGCAGACTTTTGCAGAATAACACTGCGCTGAGGTTTCTCACATGAAGAAGTAGGAGTTTAATCTCAAACACATCAGTAAAGCAGAAAATGTTTGAGATGAAAACTTCAAAGCAAAAAGAAACTTGGTCCAAGTTTTAGTTTAGTTTATAAGTGTTAATAATGTTGAGAAATACCTCCTTTAACAGATTACATATTTCCATATTATTAAATCACTGCAATAATCAAACTAACTCAAAAACCAACATTAAAATAAAGTGAAACACAGGATAAATAATCACAATACATTCTGTCACTAAGAAAACGTTTTTATTAACTGTGTTAACAAGTGCAGCTTTTGTGATTACAGTTTATCAGCGTTATAAATAAACATTATTCAAGTTATAATCAGATCTATTATTTTACTCACATTACCAGATAGCACAGGATACAGTAGAAGACTTGATGTGTCACAATTCCAGTAACTACAATGTTATTTCTACAAATTCATTACCACTGTTAGTATACAAGTAGTTCTACATTAACCATTACTGTTTCTATGTGTTGTTTGTTTGTATGAATCTATTTGTAAGTGAAGCTCAATCCATTTACTCAGTCAATGGATTTCTGAAGTTTTTTCCAGCAAAACGAGCCTCGTCTCCCAGCTCCTCTTCAATTCTACAGTAAAGAAAAGTTCAAAGGTATTTTCCTCACTTTAATGTATCTATTTAATAGATTGACACAACACTGTTTAAATGATACAAACAGAAACAAGTAGTTGTGCTTCAGCAGAAAAGTTATTGGCAGTATTTTATTTCACAAATTAAATAACACACAATAACACATGCATTTTAAAAGAAATAACACAATTGTGAAACGTCCCCACTTTGTGTAACAATGAGACTCACCTGAGAATCTGGTTGTATTTGGCCAAGCGCTCAGAGCGACAGGGTGCCCCAGTCTTGATCTGAAAATGTGCAACAAAATGTGATTAGTCATGTTATTATGATTCCAGTCTCAGATTTGATATTCGACTTTAACTATTTTAGTTGTTTATTAAGTGGAAACAATTTGTGAAAATGGACAGTGGAGATAAATCCATAATTTTTGGCATAAAAGTCCAATTTGTTATATTCTCAAAGGACACACCAACACAATAACTAAATAAATAAATTTACCTGTCCAGTGCATAAGCCGACCACCAAATCTGCGATGAAGGTGTCCTCAGTCTCACCAGAGCGATGGCTAACCATCACTCCCCAGCCATTCTCCTGAGCCATCTGACACCTATGAGAAGGAAAAGGAAGCGAGATATTGCTGAGAGACCATCAACTAGTCTAGACGTTACAGGTATTAGGTAGTCTAATATTCAATTACACACACCAGACTACATTTAAAATGTTGACTCACGCGCGCATAGACTCAGTAACTGTTCCAATCTGATTGACTTTAAGCAGCAGACAGTTGCAGGCCTTCTTCTCCACGGCCGTGTTGATGCGATTAGGGTTGGTCACCGTGAGATCGTCTCCAACAACCTGGATGTCTGTGCTTCCAGTGAAGTTGGACCATGCCTCCCAGTCGTCCTGGTCAAAGGGATCCTCAATGGAAACCACTGTGAGTGAAAATATGCAGACATTCCTCCATTAGATAGTGAAACAGATGTTCAGCTGTTCCATCAAAAAGATCATTCAAAACCCAAACAGGAAGCTGATGAATGAACAAATCCCAGCATCTGGTCAAAGTATTAAATCATACTTCTGTTTTTTTACATTGTGAGATGTATTTATTTTAGTTTTGGCCATGATTTCTATTAATTTACTTACTCACCATAGTAACTGAGATCTAGTACACAACAACTGCACTACACTGGAGTCCAATTGGACATGAAACATTCACTCAAAAGCCAGCACACAAATTTTGCAATATCATTATTCACCAATACAAAAAGACATCTGTGTGCAACTGTGCTATGAGGTTCAATAATAATCAGGTCAAATAATCGTCATTGTGGTATTATAGCATGTGACAACCAGACATTTAACTTACGGTGTTGACATGTTCTTAAAATCAGGGGCTGACACCTCTCTCTTTGTGCAGGGTTATTTTTTAGTACAAAGAAGATTGTTGTGATTAATAGTCATTTGACTTGGAGCTCCTGTTAGAATTCACAATTTCTTTTTTTAAAAGTGCTGTCATTGTGAGTCAAAGGACACATTTGTGTAATCTACATTTTGGCAAGTGCTTTGATTAAGTTTTACTTGCTTCAAAAATGAGAAGACTTTTAACTTATTTTATCTTTTCGGTTTCATATCTGTTTATAACCTGAGCTGCAGTTCAAGATGCCACAAATTATCTATTTAAAAAATTAAGTTCAGAAATAGAATTGCACAATGAATGTTCTTGACAGCTTCCTGTGGATGAAAAAGATGTTTGTTGTAAACCAGTGCCACAATAGCCCACAATCAATTTGTATACCCCATGTATCCCTCCCTTCACGAGACTACGTTGGTGCTGACATTAGGACTATATATTGTGTGATCTGCTCTCCGCCTGCTAAATAATGTGTAAAAAGAGAAAGTATCAGCAGGTTACCTGGATAATCCTTCACAAAGCTCTTGTAGAGATCAGCCAGCTCGTCAGGAGTGATGTAACGGCTCGGATCGTCAGGAGACTTGAAGTCCAGGTCGTATTTTCCCTCCCTGTAGAATTCAGACGCTGCTACGTCCATCCCGATCACAACCTCATCCGTGTATCCTGCTTTGGAAATGGCTTCCTTTATCAGCTCCAGAGCTGCAGAGTTAAACAGTCAATATGAAAACAGAGTTGCTATAGAAAGATGCATATAGCATTACAGAACTATAATGATAATGTCCACACTGTGTGAGCAGACAATAGTCCTGGAATAAATATTACGTATTAAACATACTTTTTCAACTGTTGTCAGACAGATGTTTAACAGTGTTGTAATTTTTTTGTCTTTTTTTGAGATTATCCAGAGTCCAGTCCAACACAACACCACTACCAACTGCTGTATCAAAATGTACTACAGAAACAAGTCAAAAGACAAAAAGATGAAGTCTCAATAAAACATTTCTGTACGGTTGTGTTTATAGGCCTGTGTACTGCATTACATTGTGCAGTTTAAATCTTTATGGTCACTCAGTGTACGACGGCTGGGTCCACTGAAAATGTTCTTTTCAAAATGAGGTTTCTTTAACAGTTGCGTAACGTACATATTTTTGTGGGTTTTACAGGCTGCACATCTGGTTTAAAGCACAATTATTGTCTTTATTGTGATAACAGCAGTTTGACTTCACACTGGCCAATGCTTATTTTGGAAAGGAACCTTAAAGCTGTGCTAATCTTTCGCGGATCTAACCCTCTTACATACCTTCCTTGTTCTCCAGGATATTTGGTGCAAAGCCACCTTCATCACCCACATTGGTGGCATCCTGACCATATTTCTTCTTAATGACGCTTTTGAGATTGTGGTAGACCTCGGCTCCAATGCGCATGGCCTCTTTGAAGGTGCTTGCACCAACAGGCAGGATCATGAACTCCTGCATGGCAAGCTTATTGCCTGCATGAGAGCCGCCGTTGATCACATTGAAGGCCTGGTGGAGGTGGAAGGGAGAGAGACGAGCGCTGTGACTTCACAATGAACTGGACGGTGAGCGAAATAATGAAAGAATACCAGGAAACTGATGTATGTCATTTGACACACAAAGCCTTACCGGCACGGGCAAGATGACCTGGGGGTTTCCTGCAAGGTCAGCAATGTGACGATACAGGGGGACACCTTTCTCTGCTGCACCAGCTTTGCAAATAGCCAGGGATACACCCAGGATGGCATTTGCTCCAAATTTGGCTGTTTGGAGAAATGAAAATATCAACAACAAAAAAATCATTTTAAAGCCCCATTCATTAATACTGATTGCAGTAGGAGGTGAGAAACTTCTTGAAACATCTAAGATCCAAACACAAGCATCGAGTTTCACTGTAGACATCTCATAATGCAGCAGGACTTAAACATAAAGTTAAAGTAAGTAAAACCTTTTTGAGCCAAACAGTAAAAAGTTCTTGACTGGTCAAGTTGATCTAATGTACTCCTGATAGTTATTAAGATTGCACTGTAATTTATATAGTTCTTATAGAAGTCCAGCAGTACGATTATTGTCTCTTACATTTGTTCTCTGTGCCATCCAGGTCAATCATCAACTGGTCGATTCTCTCCTGCTCAACCACAGATAGATCCTGAAAAGACAAACAAGTTGGGAATCATTCACATTAGCAATAAAGCAATTAAAAGAAATGTCCAAAACTTCACAGAGAGTGAAAATCATCTTCTTACTTGGCCAACAAGTGCAGGTGCAATAGTTGAGTTTATGTGTTCTACAGCCTGTGAGACTCCTGTGACAGACAGATTAGTGTGATTATTCTATTACATTGAAATCAAAGGCAAATCTTGTAAAGCCAATAATAAAAAGACTGATTTAGAAACACATGCAAGTTTTATTTCTTACAATACATATACAGAGAGGCATGCAATAGTATAAATTATATTTTTAGAGCCCGCCAATATTGGCATCATTTCAAGACTGGCTTATATATTATCATTAATAACATTTCGGTATATAGTGCAGCAAAAAAAAAGATTGAGGTTTTTACACCACTGATGTTTAGCTATTTATTTTATTGTTATTTAATCTCTCAGTGTTTATTTCTAGAACTGGTTGACAATGTAGCCTATATGTTAAATTGGTAAAAAAAATTAAAGAATATTTTATAATCCACATAGAAAAGGTCTATTTTCATTTAAACTAAAAACCATATTGGTAACCAGGGACTTTTTCCCTTCTATAATCGGCATTACTCTCAAAAATCCCAAATTTGTCGGGCTCTAATTTTTTTTTTGCGTGACTGGTTTTAGATTAAGAAACATAATTAAAAACCCTTATTCAACGTGTCAGCATAGTTTTATTTCTGGGTTGATCAATCCACAGGCTAAACATCAATAATTGAGTGAGAGCATGCTTCACTGACAATTCACCATGCACGTCATATCCGGTTGCCAAAAGCATTCAATGATCTGTTATATTACTGTGTAATTAAAGGAAAGTGTCATTAATTATTCTACTGTCAAATGCACAAATCTCAGCTTTTAAATAAGAGGGTCAGGCAACGGAAACTCACTAACCCTTTCATATCTGGCAAAAAGGAAGAGAGAGAGTGGACAGAAGAGATGACACAGAGAAAGACGAAGAAAAAGAAACGTATATGAAACTAAATTCAGCATTAAGCCAATAAAACTATAAATATAAATATCAAAACAACACGTGTCATTGGACCAATTCTTTCCTATTAAAAGAAAACACAAAAACGGTGCACAAACCTTTCCCCAGGTAGCGAGACTTGTCATTGTCTCGGAGCTCCAAGGCTTCATAGATTCCAGTAGATGCACCGCTTGGTACAGCTGCCCTGAACAAGCCTGTGAAATATTAATGGGAGCAGACAGGGAACAAAAGAGTGGCACGGACAGAGAATCACTGAAGTTGATGGAATCCATTTTGATATTGAGACACATTGGCAATATGTTTGTACATGGTCCAATCAGTCACACATTGTTGCCTACCTTTGTCAGTGTAAAGGTCAACCTCTACAGTGGGGTTTCCACGAGAATCAAAGATCTCTCGGGCGTGGATCTTGACAATGGACATGGTGTAGGAGCTTGAGATGAGACAGAGAAGTTGAAATTGTTATTATGTGGACAAACATGCAGCAGTGCCTGTAACAACTCTGGGTTGAGACAGAAGAATAATGCAAACAAAAACTCAACGCTATCTAAACGTCTGTTTTCTGTTACTATTGGCGCACCTCTTTTACTCTCTTTCCTCCTTCTGGCTTACCCACGAAAATATCCTGACCTAGCTGCAAGCTTAGGCGTGCTAACAGACATTCTACCATCCTAATTGGATTAGACCTTCTCATCTGATTAATCACATGGCAGAAGGGATGCAGAAAGTGCTGCATCTGTCAAAGCAAGGTTAAGCTTAAAAGCTACAATAGCCTGTGTTCCTGCAGTAAAATGCATAGCAAGTTTTAGCCCAGTCATGATGCTACCTTAACTACAACAGAATTAATGCCATAGCAGAAAGTCCCTCTGCCTTCACCACATGATATGATAACACCAATAATCCCCCTCCGCCTGCCAGATAAACAAGCAGGCTTACTACTAACCAACAATTACTCTTCCTAAAGACCGAGTTGCACAGCAGACACAAGAACATTCAGGAAACTGTAATTCTTGTTCCAACTTCCCAAATGAAATGTCTGTATTTATACTGCAGCACTACACTGTAGAGCTTCATCATCAGCTAACACTGTCATCAGATCCCCAAGAGACATATGTTGATAAAGACAATTGTTGCCAGTTAGGTGACTCAAGAAAGCAACCTTCAGTAACTCTGTGGGAGCCATTTGGATAAGAATAAGACGATAGGAACAAAAAAAAGTTAAAACATGAAATAACTCATTTGTTCCCTCTTGGGGTCTTCACACATCCTTGGTTAACTCTCAGAAGATATTCCTAATAACAATCCTGGATCAAATCTACACTGACTGTGGTGACAGTTTGGATATTTTTAAGTAAAGCTGGATTTTGAGGTTAGATGTCAACAAATCAACTATAACAACGGGCAATTAAACAAAAACTGAATGAATGTGTGCTTGGGCTTTAGACTCCTACACAGTTAATACAGGAGCCCAACGAAGTAGACTAAGAACTAAACATATTATATAATCCAATCGATTTTTGCATGCCAAAAACACGTGTCATTGTATCAAAATATAGATATGTTTGGCTAAACTTTAGACTTCTTTTATCTGTAATAGAGGAGAGTAATGAAAAAGCTAAATAAATATACACTTTGTCCAATATACATTTCGATAATTTATCTGCAACTTTACATAACAGCTATAGCTAGTTGCTAATATAGATTACTGTCATAGTCATTATTGAAAATATCACTTTATCTTTAGTAATATCTGACCTTGGAATTAGTAGAGACAGACAAACAAATAAGTATTTAACACAAGTTACTAGTGAATCTAGTGAGTGTGCACTTCTCCAACTTTTATCCAGACCGCAAACACAACGTTTCCAGCTGCAGCTATCATCAGCTAACATCAGCTAACTGAACTCAGAACAGATTCAAATGTGAGACGTAAAACAGACTACGGCTAAAATAAGAACAAACTAATGAAACATCCCTGTTAACAGTGACAGAGACAGTGTAAATAAGTGTCTCTACCTTGCTGTCAAACGTAGACAAACGCCTTCGTTCAGAAATGAAATGAAGCAACCGAAGAAGTTCAAGTGAGGAGTTTCTTTTTTATTTCCGGCACGCTTGACGCGTTGTATGCGTGTTGCTGCCCCCCACAGGTATCAATGTGAACTACACCGAAGCAGAATCAGAAATACTTTAATAATCCCAGGAGG